CCCCTAAAGCATACAATCCTAAAACTAACATGTGGCCAATAAGGATGTTCCAAATATCCCGACTCCACTCTGGTTGCACCCCTGCCTTACTCTATCCAATAGCGATCCAATAGCACCAACCTGGCTCCTCCCCCACTCCACCGCCCCCCCCCTTACCTTATATAAGCCTGTGCGTTCGCTATGAATAAAGCGGAAGCATTCCAGAAAGCTCCCCGGAGTCTGTGTGGTGATTCTGCCGCCTTGCCCTCCCCGAACGCTGTTCTGTGAGGGGGAAACAACTGGCACCCGAACAGGGGACTCGCGTATACTGGGTAAAGATTAAAGCTTTGGGTAAGGATCCCTATTATGGGTAATGTCATGAGTCAAGAAGGGCCGGTTCAGGCTTCCTTAATAAAGGGTCCTCCTGCCGTAAAGGCATCCGAGGCGTTTCCAGCCCAAACTTCTTCGGCGAATGTAGGGCTCCCTGAACGCTCTAAAGATCGCAGACAAAAGCCTCTTTAAAAAGATGGTGTGGGCAAGCTGTCTCTTCTGCTTTCTTCTTCCCAAAGGCCTCTCACTTCCTGTCAAACCCCCTCATCACTGGAATAATGGTCCTCGGGAAGAGCCTACCTTTTCCCGTCCAAGATGGCTGCCTCCACTTTGTGCGCCGCTGTCTTACTTGTCCGATGAGGAGAAACGATCCTTTGATTGGGCCTTAGCATGGCTTCCAGGTCCTGGGCCTGCGGCCGCCCAGCCTTTTCCCCCAAAGCCCAGCCAGGTGCAGCTGAGAGCGCCAGAAAAGTTTCAGAGCAGAGCGAAAGACCTGCAGCTTCGGTCAGCATTGAGGCCTGGTGCCCGAAGCCGGGAGGGGAAGCCTGGTTACGGCCAAGTCCAGCAGCTACTCGGTAGCTGAAATTCCTTTTGTCTTCCCCAGCCTCTGCTGTCCCTGCCTCCCACCACGGATCCTTATCAGCCTGGCTGACAGCAGCCCAACTCCCTGGGGCGCATTAGGGCCCAGTGGGGCTGAGAGGGTTGCAAGCGCTGGGTTGAGGCTGGTGAGACAGGGGCTGCAGGGTCCCTGGCGTGCGGCCCTGGAGGCTAACTGCTCCCTGGCCCGTGCCTGTTGACCCTGAGTGGTCCTGGGGGTGTGCTGCATGCCCAGGAACAGCCTTCTTGCTGCAGAGCCTTCGATCTCTACTTCGTCCTGGACAAATCCACAAGTACCTAACCCCCATCTCTATCTTGTTCTGCCTTCCCTTTTCATGTTCGTTTTACCCCTTGTATTGATCCTTCTTTGTTTAATCATGCAGAAACTTGGTGCTTATATTTTGCTAAAACACCCCTGGCTGTTTGGGTCCCTGTTGATTTCCACATGGAATGACAAAATTCAGATCCTCTCTTTTTTTTTTTTTTTTATTGAGTTTATTGGTACAATCCAGGTATACAATACAGTTACATTCATTGCTGGGATCCTGTACCTTTGCATGACAGGTCTTGGTTCTCATTTTTTCCCCTTGTCCCTGCCCTCCCTTCACCCCCTCCTCCCCTACCCATTTACAAACACTTTATTTCCATTTTTTCATTTTCTCATATTTTTTTTTCTTTTCCCTTATCTGATGCTTCATCCCCTCAGTAAGAAAGATTTTGAAATTTCTGCCTTTATTGTTGCCACGGTGGCAGCTATTTCCACCACAACAGCAATAGTCATCTTACAAAATCAAGTGGTGACAACAACAATGTTGAACCAGCTACCCTGCTATTTCAAGATGTCCACGCAGCCATACTCAATTTACAAATCCAATTAAACTTGGTTTGGGAGGAATTAATACCCAGGTGTTAGATGTTATGAGTTTAAATAATGTGTGGGATACCATTTGGTCAAAAATTCAGGCTGGATGGAATAATTTGAGTAGTTGTATACGTGGACTGATACTGGGATCCCCATATATATTAACCTTGTTTGGCATATTGTTATTGTTCTTTATTTTAAAGATCAGACGTGCCAGTAACAAAATCATAAAAATGTGGTCCTTTTGGCTGAGGCTCTGGAGTCAAAGACAAAAGGGGGAACTGAGGATCAAGTTAAAATCTGGCTGAGTCAGGAGCACTGCTTCCATCTCTTGTGAGAAAACTCTGAGGCCTCTTAGGGCTGGAATAATCTGCCCCCTCGGGTGTGTAGAGATCTGATCTTAGATAAACTGTTCCTCTCAAAAACCTCCAGAGTCCTGACTCCATTTGCTTTGGCCCCTAAAGCATACAATCCTAAAACTAACATATGGCCAATAAGGATGTGCCAAATATCCTGACTCCACCCTCGTTCCACCCCTGCCTTACCCTATCCAATAGTGATCCAATAGCACCAACCTGGCTCCACCCCCGCTTTACCCTATATAAGCCTGTGCATTTGCTGAATAAAGCAGAAGCATTCCAGAAACCACCCTAGAGTCTGTGTGGTGATTCTGCCACCTTGCCCTTCCAATCTGGGCCCCCTGAACCCTGTTCCGCATGCGTGCTCATGGACAAAAACAACACTAACATAAATTGAGTATGTGTGCTTAGTTGTTGGAAATTAAGGGCCGCTTTTTTAAAAATTGAGTTCTTCTGCACTGGGCTCCTGGACGCTTCAAAGTTTGGGGAGTCTTATTTGGCTCTTATTTTTCTTTCTTCATTAATTCGTTTTACAAGTATTTGTCGAAAACGTGCCATGTGCCAAGTACTGTTGAGATTACTGGAAAGTAAACAATTAACACTATTCGTAACTATGCGGTATGATTAAAATACATGGTGAGTGTTAAAAACAGTCATCACTGCTAAAGACACATTGCCATCAATCAGTATCAAGTCTCACCCTCTCTTTGAACACTCACATCACTCTTGCCACTTTCAGAAGCAGAGCCACAAGTTATCTTTGATGAGTGTCTTTGTGAGTGTGACTAAAAGAAATACAGTAAATGCTGCTGACAAGTGCCAAAATGGCAAAAATATTACAGTGTGTCTTCATCCACCTAATTTACATGGTATAGAACTGTGTCACTTCTGTTTTTTTCCCTTAGTCAAAATGACTGAAAGGTAAGCATTTTGAATCAGTTCAGGATGTCCTGGCAGCCAGAGCAGTGCAATGAAAGACACTCATTGAAGAAGGCTTTCAGAAATGCTTCAGCACATGGTAAAAATGATGGAATAACTATGTTCAAATCACTGGGGAGCATTTTTCGGTGGATTAAAGTAGATATGTCCTTTACTGAAATAAACTTTTAAAAATTTAAAGCCACCATGTTTTTCAGTCATACCTAGTATATTTCCTAAGAAAGTAGTAGAAAGAAAGTCAACTAAATAATTGCATACAAACATGGTGGTGCTAAGGAAGGTAAAGCAAGATGCAAGTCCAGAGGTGATGGAAATAGTGCTTTAGTGGAGTGAAGAGAGCAGTAAGGCCTGTTTGCAAGGGTGCACTGACATTAAGCAGAGAAGTGTAAGTGGCACAAGCCTTACTGTGTTGGGAACGGTACTTGTGGAAACCTCCATTGGGAATGGATTTGGCATCATAGTAAGAGGGGTGAGGCCATTCTGCCTTGACAGTAGTAGACAGGAGTGAGAGATTGGTACTGCATCTTTGGACTTGTCCCTGTGATTGAGAAGAGATATTAGTGGATATTTTGACATTTTCTTGAACATCTGCTGCAGTAAAATCACCAATGCTACTGGAGAAAAGAATCATGATTCCTTATCTCACCACTGAACCATGCACAAACTTGAGTTAAAATCCATTTTCATAGAATTTTTTTCTAATGCATATTTTACTTAGTTCTACTGCAAGTATCTCTGGGAAATATGGCACCCACGTATGACCATATTCCTCAGTAAATTAATATAAAACAATGAAAAGATAAATGAAATTTGTTTCCAAAGTGCCAGTTCACAAAGCTGCACCACAAATTTAAAGGTTTCATATTATTTGTTAAAATGTATTGTTCAGTTTGGTGGTAGTCTTGGTGTCACTGACATTTTTGAAAGAGTTTCTTTGGCTGCTTTGTGAAAAAAGGTGATACAAGAGCCAGGGAGGGAGGTCTCCATCCAACAGTGATGGCTGAGGACCACTTGGTTGATGTTTGTTGCTATGGAGATGAGGTAAGACGTGGAATTGCAGTGGTCCCGTAATGAGAACCATTGCCCTTAACGAAATCTCCTAGAGAGGGAGCATAGCCTGAGAAGAATTCCAAGCACTGAGTCTTGGCCATTTTAACATTAGGAAAATGTACAAATTTGAAAAAGGAGAAAGATCCATTAAACGAATCAGAAAAGAAACAACAAGTGAGGGAGAAGAGGAAAATGTTTGGAAATTATAAAAGCCAAGTGCAGAAAGTGTTACAAATAAAACTGAGGTAGTGCTACTTCCTGTGTAGTCGACTTGTTGAGTACGAAAAGACCTGATTACTTTTTCTTTTTCTCATGGTAATAAATATCAAGTTGATGATTACACTGTGTTCTCTCCTATGGGCACCTACTTATTTCATTTTTATTATTGTAAGAACACAGCATGGACTTATGAGTGTACACTGTGTTATTATAGGCACAATGTTGCAAATTGAACCTGTAAAACTTATCTCCTATAAATAAAGTTTTTAGGCATTTGTTAGCAACTAATTTCTTTGATAGAATTTCCTTTTATCTTTCTTCTTTGAACTTTAATATTTCTTATTCTCTACTCTTTCCAAGAAATACTAGGAAACAGCTTGTTACACAAACAACATCAATTTGACTTGAAATTCTTAGATAAGAATTCTGAGTTGAGGTCCTTCAGAATAATGCACTTTGATATAGCTGGATTCCTGAAAATCAGGAGGTTATTTGAACTGCATCTGTGGCTTTTTTAATTAGTATAAATCAGTTGTCTAAATTCTGATCAATTTCAAATGTTTTTCATGATTTTAAGGATTTTACTTCACTCATAATTATTTTGATAAGCATATACCCATCATTGTATGAGAGCCTTACCAAGCATCTCTATATATTCTTTTCAGAAAAATGTGATGAACCCCTGGTCTCTGGTCTCCCCCATGTGGCTTTCAGCAGCTCTTCATCTATGTCCAGCAGCTATGCCCCTGGCTACGCTAAAATAAACAAGCGAGGAGGTAAGACAACTTTCGATTGCTCTGCCAATAGACATGTTAAATAAAAACATGTTATATTAGGGAGTTTATTTTAAAAGTGTATATTGTCATGTAAGATATTAGCAGGCACCCAAAATAATTCTTGCCCCTTCTAGAAGATGCACAAATACCATGAACTTCTCATGTACCTTCTTAGTAGGGAATAATTTAGGAAATGTCAGGCTGGAAGTGAAAGATACTGTGTCACATATTTTGGAGTCACCTGTACTAATAGATTCAAAGTGACATAGACCTAAGATAATGACATTCTTGTTAATCATATAAAATGATGTTAAGAATTAACTTCTACTATGTGTTCAGGATATGAGAAAGTATACTGTAATATTCACTGCTTTCTTCTCTTTTCATTAATTTGTACAATTTTTATTAAAATGTAAGATAAGTAAATCTAAGGCCTTTACAATACTTTCTCCAGTGTCCAGAATTCAGCTTTAGTATTAAAAACATAGAAATAGTTATCATGTTTTCAAATTTTGGACTTTTAAATTATTGTATTCATTAGTTAATGGTAATTTCAAAGTTGAGAGTAGTTCATAGAGAGTGAAGGTACACAATTAGTGGCAGATACATAAAACTACTTCAAGTAAGTATTGCTAGAAATGTCAGTGGATGACAACTTACAAAGGAAAAATATTTTCTGGTTTAAATATAAATCAGTCAACAAGGACCATAAAATCTTATTGAATATAAAACAAAAATGGGTTTCCAGAGTCTAGCATGAGGAAAGTAGAATAGGAAAATGTTGGTTAACAGGGGAAAAGTTTAAGTTGGAAAGAACAAACTCTGGGAGCTCGAAGTACAGCGTGATGACCATAGTTAATAGCACTGTGCTGTACACTTGAAAATTACAAGGAAAGTAACTCTTCCTGATGTGCTCACTATGAAAAGAGGGCAGCTCTGTAAAGTGATAGGCATATTAATTAGCTTGAGTTGATAGTTTCAGAATGTATTCACATTATAAAACATCATGTTTTATACTATAAATATATAAAATTGTATTTATCAATTAAACTATAATAAAACTTTGGGGGAAATAGGAAATACTAAATTATAGGATAATTTCAAATCACAGCAATTTAGTAAATGAAAAATAATCAATATAGAAGGAAGGATCACTGACAAAGATGAAAGAGGTGAAAGAGGAAGAAAACAATAAAAGGGGAAGAAAGTAAAATAAAGCACTAAAAAGAATGAGGTATGTAAGATTGAGAAATGACAAAGGAAATAGGTAAGAAAAGGCCAGAATAATATATAGTCAATTATATGCACAAAAGTGTGAAAGTGATTTAACCAATAAGTTCTGACTTTCTGAAAGACAGAGATACAAAGGCAAGGTAGGGAAATGTTAATAGCAAAAAGACAGTTTTGATAAAATAGCAGTATTAATTAAATCATCTTTTATAACCACATGAGAGAGTTTGCAATTTACTGCTAGTTATCAAATTTTTTTAAAATAGCAAGGTAAGGAAAATTTTAATTCATTTTTCCTATATAAAAATCTCTTGAACCATCAGCAAAAAATGAAAATATGGAGAAAAACCTGAAATACTGTATTGGCCATATCTAAATAACAATGTGGCGCATCAAGACTATGAAATGTAGAACAAAATATAAATGATGAAATAAATAACATATTCCTAGATGTCAAGGGAATGTCATATGCTCAAAATATGTGTCATGGTACTGAGACATCTACAACAATTTTAATGAGAAGAAGAGTCAAGAAATATTTATTTTGAAGATTTTTGAGGAAAATATGACTGAAGAATATGATTTTCTCCATGAATACGGGCATGTCAGGTTATATCAGCAAAAGACACTTGGGGAACAGATAGTGCAAAATATAGTCAACAGTGAGATGTGTGAAAATAAACAATCAAGAAATCATGGCTGAATGCCTGGTATTGAGCAACAAAACCATTTCACCATGAAACCAAACTAGAAAATCATACCCATAGAACAAAAAGTATATATAAGAATACCAAAGTATCAAATTATCAGAATCAGACAAATATGTGTTCCCCTGAATTTTTAGGGAAAAATATGTCACTAGATATATGAATTTTTTTCTTTGATCTTTTTTTCAAGAATTAATATATCAGGAAAAATCTTTGTTATTTTACTAATGTACATTGCTTTTTTATTTGGTTTTAATGTATTACCATCTGCCACTTTTAATTACTTTCCTTAGCTATTGGTATAATTCATAACCACATATTGGGGTGAAGCCATACTGGCTTATACTTTACTGTGTTCCATTTATCAATATTTATTCTGTTGGAGCTTTATTACTTACATTTTGGCTCTTAAAGGTGTTTGCTATGCATAACTGCATGCTCTCCCTCCATCCTCTACTATTTATGTAGTCACTTTGGATCCTGAGGCAGGTAGCTCTTGGATAGTCTCTCCAAGGAAAAACTAAAAGAAATTCATAACCAGGGTTAGATGCACAGGCCTGTTATCCCAGAACTCTAGTAGACCGAGGCAAGAAAATTAAAAGTTTGAGTTCATCTTGGGAAGTTAGAGACCTTGCATCAAAGTAAAATACAAAAGTGTTGGGAGGTAGCTCAGTGTAAAGGTCCAGAGTTCACTCCCCATTACTGAAAAATAATTGCATATTCTCACTTGGGTAATAAAACACAATATTTTATTCTTATAGGAAAGCTCATATGCCCTTTGGAGAAGGAATTTATTCACTGAAATTTATGGTCAAATATGCATAAACTAATAATCTTTACTGATTGAGAATTTTTTTTCAGGAGAGCATGATCTTATACATCTGAAAGGTAGAGAAAAAAGCATCAGAAAATTCTTAACAGAGGCAAAAAAAAAAAAGATATAAGTAAAAGAAACCAAGAATGCTGGGAATATCTTTTCTGGATTCATTAGTGGCAAAACCATGTGTCATATACACTGTGTATGTATTTGAAAACAAAAAATGATTGTATACTAGCACAGAAAGATAAATGATTATAATTTACTAATTATACAAGTGCAGAAAAGAACAAATTTAGTTCAGTGTTATGTTGATAAATATTGACTTCAAGTTTTATTATGCAATTAAGTCATATTTTTCAAATATACTTTACAGAGCATGTGTTTATAAATACATAGGAAAATTATAGTATATATGCAAATACACATTCAGATGACAGATTGTTGTATCTTTATGAAATTTAGTTTAGTTTTTGGGTTCCCACAATCCAAATCCATCTGCTACAACTTTCACATCAGTGAACAATAAATAGCAAAACCAAGGTTAAATGTGACCTTTAAATGAGAAATCCATGTGTAAAACTATCATGTCTCCTAGTTTAATTTTTTCTGTTTATCCCTTCCTCCTTCCCTCCTTCTTTCCTTCCATCCTTCCTTCCTTCCTCTCTCTCCCTTCCTTCTGTCTTACGATTTTACTCCTGTAATCTGATTTATCTCCACATTCTTCATGCATCAAAAGCTTCTAATCTTGTGTTTCTCCAAGTCAATGTCAGTAAAAATATTTGTTATCTTTTTCAAGTTTAGCACAGATATTAAATGTTAGATTTTTTAGAAAAATATCCCCTACCTTACATTTATAATACAGTATATATTATACATTTATAATATAGTATATATAATACAGCCTTATTAGGGTGGCAAGTTAGAGATGCTGCCTTAGTCTGTTTTCTGCTACTATAATGAAATATCAAAAATAGGTAATTTATAAAGAAAAAAATTGATTGGTTCTGGATCCTGGGACATCCAAGGGCATGGTATCATCATCTGCTTAGCATGAGGTGAGGGATTTTTGCTGGGACATCCCATGGCAGAAAGTAGAAAGGCAAGCACACATGTGAGATATGAAGACTCACTATTTCATCAACAACCCACTTCCAAGATAGGTAGGTAACCCAACTTTATGACAACCGCACTAAACATCTATTGAAGATCACACCTCTCAGCACCATTAAATCTGAGATGAAGTTTTCATTACATAAACATTAGAATCACATTTGGGCCACGATAGATAACAATCATTTCTCCTGCCAAACTTCAGCCTTTTATCTCACATGATTTGCCGAATCATCCTCTTCTATACTGGGAGGGAGAGCTGCTCTCCCAGTCTTCTTCATCCTCCACTAGCCAGGTGTGATTAGAAAGAACACCAAATTGTCTCTGTTTCTTTGTTATGGATATAGATTTTGGCACCTGGGGTACTATTGGAGCAAACAGGATGGGCCATATTTAGACAAGGCAAAGAGAGAAGAAAGCAGCTACTTATGAAGCAATAAAGGGAGAAGACCCTATGAAGTCACTGGCTTCAGTAGTCAGGTATTGTGGTGGTGCAAATCTGAAATCCTAGCACTCTAGGAAGCTGAGGTAGAAGGGTGGCCCAGCCTGAGCAACTTTGTGGCTTATCAAGACTATATCTCCATGAACGAATAAATGAATAAAGGAATGAGAGTCGCTGGCTTCCTTCCCAGTCTCCCTTCATACTCTGCTCTAACTACTGGCTACCCTGAAATAGACCTTTCTCTCTCTAAGAGTCCCCATCTTTTACATGAGCTAATTTGAGTAAATTTTACTTCCCAGTTGATACAGTATTCTTGATTAAAAAGTAATCATTATTTTTCACCTTTTACAGATTAGAAATAAATATATTAACTGATCATCTGGACTATAGATTCAGAAGGCACCTAGCTGAGCAGCAATGGGATAGGGGCAGGGACATAAATCTGTGTCTTCTATGCAAACCCAACACACTTCATATTGATTAGAGCAGATGATGCAAGTCACTGCTGTGTTTGATTTAGCCAAAGATAGGGCCTAAACTGAGGTGGAAGGTTTGATTCAAGTTTAATTTATGCTCACATTGCCAAGTAAATTCAATCACAATATCTCAGCTTTTTACTAATGTAGATCTTTAATAATTTCCTTTTTCTCTCTTTTGCAGTTATTTTTTGTTAGTGGATCTCTCTGCCAAT